TGGCGTGAGCGTAGCCAAGGAGTATTCGAGTTTAAGTTTTGAAGATGAACCCTGCAGATGCCCCAGGGACGGGCGCTGTGGCGGCTCAAAGTAGGGTACCAACGACATATAAAATTTTTAAACTCGTGCCATTTTTTTGTTTTTCACCCAAATACAAAGATTTTTATATTTTGTGAAAGCGCTCGACGAGATCTTGAAAAAACATGCTTGGACATACTACTTATCTCTTATAATATCCGAGTTATAGGCATTTAAAAATTTAGTGATACAAAATTTACCATACCTTGGTCCGCCTTTTTTTGAATACCGGGCGTAATTTTGGACCAAATGGACTCAATTTTTTCTTGTTAGTTAGACAACAAAATTTCCAATAATATACAAAAAATTTCAGATCAATATCGTTTACAGATCCAAAAATATACGTTTTTTAATTTAAAAATTCAAAAAATTTTAGATTTTTGGCGTTTTTTTGCCAAAAATGTGTCTTAACTCTTTTATTAATAAAATAAAATTTTTATTAAGAACATATAACAATTTTATAGTTTTCTAAAAGGTATCTTTACGCAGAACGCTTTGGCGTAAAAAACTTGTCCTATTTTTTGAAAATGTTGCCACTGCGTCCTTCCGAATATGACCTATTTTTTATCAAAACTTCAACTTTGGGCGACATGTTCTAAAATCCCAAAGCTGGGATCAGAAAACTGAAAGCAGTTTTGGAAACCTCAATATGTTTTCTATTTACACCAAAAGTATTTTCCCAGCCCTGAAAGAAATGTGGACCCTATGGGCAAAAAAGTAAAAATTCCCATTTTTGGGATTTTCATTCCTATTTTTGGGAATTGCGGGATGCCCTTTGACCTTTTCAATTTTTTTTTTGTATATTCTTATTTGAAATGACAAATTTAACAAGCGTTGAAAATTTCATTGAGTTTTGTTCATAAATAAAGATTTTGTCATATATTACATATTTGTTTAATTTCTAAAACTATGATTTATATCAAAATTTTAATAGGATCGCAGATAGCTACAACAATTTAGTCCATATTTATCCCTTAATATTATTTTTTAGTTAGATATGGAAATTCTCGGCCCTTTACAAAAAATTTCAAGCCAATATCTCAATTACATTCAAAAATATGTTCATTTAAAACCTGTGTCCTTTAATTTCATCTTTTTCATATTTTAGTATTAAGTATGACAGAACATACATTTGGTGTTGAATAAAATATTTGGACAATTTTTAAAAATTATTTAGTTAATTATTTTATTATAATATTGTATATAAAATAAAAAAAATTATAATTTTATTATGAGCCACGCACAACAACACCTAAATCACCACACACAAATTACCTTTCCCGCCCACCGAAATATAAAACACAATTTAATACAATATCATCAGTTAGTATAATAGCTTTTTTTATTTGAACTGTTTATCTTAAACATAATACAATTAATTCTTACAACCTACTTATATAGTTAATTCCTAACACTACTTATTTTCTATAAAATAATCTGTCATATCGGTATACATATCCAGAAGGTAATATAAGTCCTTTAAATCTTCCTTGTTTTGAGATGATAGAGTTTCATAACAAATCCATCTTTTTCGCATAGTTGAAAGAACAGGATCAGAAGATAGAAGTAAACTATTAAAAATATCTTCATTCTGTGATTGCCTGGAGCATTTTCTTGAGCTGAATAGTTGAACATGCTTAAAATCTCGATTCCTCGCTTCCTGGGCTTCTTCTGTTAACTCTCCAAGTGGAAGAATATTCGATTCAATTATTATTTGACCATGACACAATACTTTGTGTACTGTTGGTGTTAGTTTCCTCCATGGATACAGAGATACAAGTAATTTAGAAATTTCAGATGTGTATTCCCCAAATCGATTTTCATTAATTTTATGTTTACTATTCAGTGCCATTAAAATAGTTTTAACTCTTCGAAGCAACTCCTTGTCGATTCCAGTTATTTTTGAAGTAATTTCAAAATCACGAAAAAACCTTCTCGACGTATTACCGTCATTTGTACTACCGCAACTTGAAAGTGGTTTGTCGATGTTTAATCCCATCTGAACTTTAAATTCTTCTTGGATTCTGCTTTTTTCCGCAGCTCTCAGTTCTTTCAATTCTTCATTATTTTTTGTTGATTTAGTAGGATACTTTGTTTTTTGTCCTGGATCGCCTTGTATGATGGTAATATATTGTGTCCTTTTTCATGCAGAGCTTTCCTTAATATTTAGTACTTATTTCGACTGAGACCCAGTTCCAACATAAGCGCTATTGCTTCCTCTTCAGTAAAATTTGATTATGATGTTGGAGTTGGTATACTTTCCACAATTCGCTTAAGTCGTTTTGGTGATGCATTAGGAAGAATAGTTGCAATATGTACGACATCCATAGGTTGGTTTTCCTTTTTCAGCATTTCGTTAAATGTATCAGCAATATCCTCACTTGAGATTCAAAAAAGTTTTTGTGTGACCCTCTTTTTTTTTTACCTTGAACATAAGTCTTCGTATGACTTGCAAGGCGCTCCTGTTGATGTGTTGTAAGTTGAGATTTCCGTAGTAGTTTCCATCCAACTACAAAATTTTAATCTAAATTTCTCTTGATTTCCATCCACAGACTTACTTTTTACATCAAAAAGTTTTCAATTTTTGATATGCCTGTTTTGTCTACTTTTCTACTATATGTAGTTTTTATATAATTTGAAATGTCTTCAATTCCTTCTGGCCCTTTTGAAGATATACTCCATAAAACGGAACACAACTCTTCGTACTTTAATGTAATCTTCATTGTAGATTTATTAAATATGGTACTTAAAATCTGAGAAGTTTACTTATATACCAATTCTTGTCATTTCCGATACAGGTATTCCAAAGTAAAAAATTACGAATTGTCTACCTATTAACATTTAGGACTATATTACTATAACCTGTAATTCAGTCATTGATATTTCTTATTAGTGAATGAATCGAAATTATCATTACCTGTATATTTTTACCTACATGATCATAAACGAAACAGAACGAAATGATCTGTCGAAAAAATTTAGGTAAAAAATAATTATAAATTTTTGAAAATTTAAGCATAATAGACCCTTTCAATTATAAGGATAAGCAAACAAATAGAAAATAGGTAAATATAAGATTTAAATATGTTCTGTCATACTTAATACTAAAATATGAAAAAGATGAAATTAAAGGACACTAAAGGTTTAAATGAACATATTTTTGAATGTAATTGAGATATTGGCTTGAAATTTTTTGTAAAGGGTCGAGAATTTCCATATCTAACTAAAAAATTATATTAAGGGATAAATATGGACTAAATTGTTGTAGCTATCTGCGATCCTATTAAAATTTTGATATAAATCATAGTTTTAGAAATTAAACAAATATGTAATATATGACAAAATCTTTATTTATGAACAAAACTCAATGAAATTTTCAACGCTTGTTAAATTTGTCATTTCAAATAAGAATATGCAAAAAAAAGTTGAAAAGGTCAAAGGGCATCCCGCAATTCCCAAAAATAGGAATGAAAATCCCAAAAATGGGATTTTTTACTTTTTTGCCCATAGGGTCCACATTTCTTTCAGGGCTGGGAAAATACTTTTGGAGTAAATAGAAAACATATTGAGGTTTCCAAAACTGCTTTCAGTTTTCTGATCCCAGCTTTGGGATTTTAGAACATGTCGCCCAAAGTTGAAGTTTTGATAAAAAATAGGTCATATTCGGAAGGACGCAGTGGCAACATTTTCAAAAAATAGGACAAGTTTTTTACGCCAAAGCGTTCTGCGTAAAGATACCTTTTAGAAAACTATAAAATTGTTATATGTTCTTAATAAAAAATTTATTTTATTAATAAAAGAGTTAAGACACATTTTTGGCAAAAAAACGCCAAAAATCTAAAAATTTTTGAATTTTTAAATTAAAAAACGTATATTTTTGGATCTGTAAACGATATTGATCTGAAATTTTTTGTATATTATTGGAAATTTTATTGTCTAACTAACAAGAAAAAATTGAGTCCATTTGGTCCAAAATTACGCCCGGTATTCAAAAAAAGGCGGACCAAGGTATGGTAAATTTTGTATCACTAAATTTTTAAATGCCTATAACTCGGATATTATAAGAGATAAGTAGTATGTCCAAGCATGTTTTTTCAAGATCTCGTCGAGCGCTTTCACAAAATATAAAAATCTTTGTATTTGGGTGAAAAACAAAAAAATGGCACGAGTTTAAAAATTTTACATGTCGTAGGTACCCTACTTTGAGCCGCCACAGCGCCGTCCCTGGGGCATCTGCAGGGTTCATCTTCAAAACTTAAACTCGAATACTCCTTGGCTATGCTCACGCCAAATTTTATCCCGATCGGATCAGCCGTTTAGAAATGCCAGATTTATTTCCAAAAAATTTCCATTCTGCCCCACTGTGCTATCTATCTATCTATCTATCTATCTATCTATCTATCTATCTATCTATCTATCTATCTATCTATCTATCTATCTATCTATCTATCTATCTATCTATCTATCTATCTATCTATCTATCTATCTATCTATCTATCTATCTATCTATCTATCTATCTATCTATCTATCTATCTATCTATCTATCTATCTATCTATCTATCTATCTATCTATCTATCTATCTATCTATCTATCTATCTATCTATCTATCTATCTATCTATCTATCTATCTATCTATCTATCTATCTATCTATCTATCTATCTATCTATCTATCTATCTATCTATCTATCTATCTATCTATCTATCTATCTATCTATCTATCTATCTATCTATCTATCTATCTATCTATCTATCTATCTATCTATCTATCTATCTACCTACCTACCTATCTATCTATCTATCATGTAGACTACATATTTTCCAAACAAATTGTTTTCAGTGTAATAAAACATTTACCATTCACCACAATTGATAACCGAACTCATCATACCATACTATTGTGAATGATAATTGAAGCCGCAAACTACAACAAACAGCTGGATGTCAACAAAACGAGCAAAAAAATCTCGTGCAGTTTGTGTTTGTTTGTAAAATTTACTGAAATTATTTAGAGGCGTAAATAAACTTAACAAAAATTTTCAGTTAAATAAATTTAAGTTTAAAAAAAAGTGCAACAAAATGTCTGGATTTTCATTTGGAGCAGCTGCAACAAGCACACCCGCCCAGCCCCAAGCAACTAGTGGATTTTCATTTGGAGCGCCTAAAACGACAGCAGCAACTACTGGTTTTGGAGCCAGTACAACAGGATTTGGGGCCACCGCACAAACAACCGGTTTTGGAGCTACAGCAGCAGCACCAGCTTTTGGTGCAACCGCCACTTCAGCTGCACCCGCTTTCGGAGCCACCGCTACATCAGCAGCACCAACATTTGGCGGAGGCTCCTCATTTAGTTTTGGCACACCAGCCTCAACAGCACCAGCTGCCGCGGGAACCACAAGTTTTGGGTTTGGTGCGCAACAGCCGGCAGCCAGTAGTGCAGCTGCACCTACACTGAATTTCGCTGCACCAACAGCAACATCAACAGCCTCTACCAGTGCTTTACCCTCTCTGGGCTTAGGAGGTGGTTTGGGAGGAGGTCTAGGTGGCAATTTTTCTTTCATGAAACCAGCAGCCACAACTTCAGCTAGCATCAATTTTGGCACTACCACCACAACTACTTTGGGTGGACAACCCGCCGCTGGAGGATTATTTGCTAAACCATTAACCACAACCACTGCTGCTCCTGCGACTGCTCCCGCTCCTTTTGTGGGTTTGGGTGGTTTAGATGTAAGTGCTAGCAAACCCAAACCGGGTGACAGCAAACAGGATATTAAAGTGAAAGAAACGCAAGTGCCGGAGGAAATTGCCAAAACAGTAGATGCTCTCAAAACGCATATAAAAACCCAAAAGACCTTATCATCAGATATAGGACGTACTTCTACATCTAAGCTGACCAATGTCTCGGGTGAAATCATGAATTTACAATGGGCCTTGCAGGAAATATCCAATTCGGTGGAGGCCAACTATAATCACATCAAATTGCTGCGTAAAGAAACCTCTAAAACTATACAATCGGTGGAAATGGCCCAGCGCACCCAAGACACACCAGTGGGTCTACAGTTCGAAAACAATGCTCCCTTTCAATTCTTTCAATATTTGGTAGCCAAATATGAACAGGATCTTATCAATTTCCGTCAACAAATTGCACTCACCGAACGTCATATGCATTCTTTAACCAATCCCCAGAACGTATCACCCGATGATCTTAAACGTGGCTTTCGACAAATCAACGAAAGTTTCATATCTTTAGCTGGCCGTTTACATGAAATTCATCAGAAAGTAGAGGCCCAAAAAGATCAATATCTTAATTTGCGTAAATATCGCTTGCGAGATAGTACAAATGTTTTCGCTCAACTGGATAACCCAGAGGCAAAAGTCGATACCACACGTATAACAGCGGGACCTACACCATTTTCAAATATTACTGCTATAAGTAATTTTGGTAAATCTTTTTCGAATTCTTCAGCTTCGAAAGGGCAAACAACACAAACTGGGAAGTGAGTGTGTGATCAGAGATGAGTTTTTCGCTTGTACATTATTTGATATACGAAAAATTTTTTAATGTAAATTAAAAATTATTAAGTTGGATAAAAAAAAGTGAAAACGTGAGTTTTATTAAGTGAATTGAATTTTGTACTCAATAAAGTTGTTAATGGGATGGAGAAGGGGGAGATAGAAAATCTGTTTAGAAGTGCAAAAATTAGATGGGATGTTGTGGATTTTCTGAGACTTTTAGCCGAATAGTGAAATGTAAAAATTTCAAAACAAATTACGAAATTTTTGTAAATATGAAATTCCATATGAAGAGTATGGGCAAAACTTCGTAATTTAGGAAGTTATGGACCATGAAGGAACTTTGTCGCCACTGGCTCTCAACACAATTATAATTATTCAACTAGGATAAACATAGAACAGCAGAAAACTAATCTTTTTTATATCTTGGTAAACAAGAGCAGATCCAAAAGTTGACAAGGGATTAGGAAATTAATCAAATTTAAGTTTTTACTTATCATATCCAAAATTAACAAGAGTCTGGGAATTAAACAAATTTAGATGTAGATCAATTAAAATTTGTTCTCAATAAAATATTTAAAAAATCTTATAAATAACAACAAAATAATACCGTAGTAAACAGGATGTAGTGAATAAGTTTCATAAAGTTCACCAATAATCTATTTTTAGAAGTAAAATGAATAAGTTTGGAAAAGTGTAGCTTTTAATCTTCAATATTAACAATTCATTTTTGGTCTCAATAAAATTTCTCAAAACGAAAAGCAGTTATCCTGCAATTTTTACCATTGTAAAAACTTAATGAAAGATTCTTACCTTAAAACACCCAAAAACTATAAAATAAGGAATCTTGAATTTCAACCAATCTTAAATTAAAACTTGAGTCTTGAAATTTTGATTTTCAAATTCTAAACAAAAAAGAAAAGTGATAAAAAATTTGCCAAAATAATAAAACAACAAATTTACCTTTAAATCTTTAAAACTCTAAAAAAGGGAATCTTGAACAAACAGCCAATATTTGTAGGAAAAATTCTTGAGTTTTGTTATAAAAAAGTTTTCTTGATTTTTCGCTATAAAAATACAATAAAGATTAATAAAAGTTTAATAACTAATCATACAATAAAGTCTACCTTTTAGTTATGATGTATTGGTTTGAATAACATGTTTATTTCGTTAAATATCATTTATTATTCCTTGAGTTCTAATTTGTTTATATGTAAATATAAGAGACATAGGTAAACAAAATAATTAAATTAAAAAAAAACGCTGCTTAATTTGTTTCTTAACACTTATCAAACAAAACCAGTTGTTATTATCCCGGTTTTCATAAGAATTCCAAATGTAGTTTATAATATTTAATATTAGTTTTTTTTCAAAGCCAAAGCGCAGGGATATCGCATTATATCTTTTCATTTTTCTCCAAAACAAAATCAATCAATGAATTAATAAGAAACTAAATAAAAAATGGTGATAAGGAAGTGAAAGGAAATTGCAAACAAAAAGGAATCAATTCATCATTTTTTAACAACTTGTATAACATCTTCATCGGCCATTATATGGCTAATGCCCACACGTTGAGGTGAGTACTTAGTGGAAGTACCCCAGACTAAGGCATACTTAAATTGAGCGGCTAAAGTGCGATGAATAGCGTGACAAACATGCTCCACAGAAACGCCCTAGACAGATAAAATAAAAATAATTATAATCTTGTTATAATATGTAAATTAATAAAAATAATACTTACCTTTCTCAAAATCAAACCATCATCAAAATCTGGTGGTGCACCTGGTTTTTTCGTATACACTCTAATCAGTTGCAAAGCTTCCCACAGTGCCTCCAGTAAATAATCCAAATTTAATTTCATATTACAACTAACCACTATTGAGTTGGGTTGTCTAGCCAAACGATCCACTTCTTCGATAGAGATCTGATCGATTTTGTTATAAACATAAAGACAAGGCAAATATACACGATTCGCTGTAACAACATCAATGAATTCATCGACGGTACAGTCTTCACGGAACAAAACTTCAGCATTGAATATCTTAAAGGAGTGCAGAACAGTTTGTACCATTTTCTCATTACACATAGTTAGAGCACAAGTGGCATTAAAACTTAAACCGCCACCTTTCTTTTGTTTGAAGTAGATATTTGGTTTACGTTTATTTAAACGTATGCCCACCGATTCCAATTCCCGTTCTAATAGGTCACGATGCACATTAGGTTTGGTGGCATCCAACATCATGACAACTAAATCGGCGGTACGGGCCACGGCAATAACCTGTCGACCACGACCTTTGCCCTAGAATGAATGGTTAATTTGTGAATAACAATTGTCATTAAGGTTAAGTTCTTATTGGTCAGTTCTTGATCAGATGTTGTAGTTATATAACTGAACTAGAACTGAACTAGTTCAGTTCTAGTTCTAGTTCAGTTCTAGTTCAGTTCTAGTTCAATTCTAGTTCAGTTCTAGTTAGTCAGTTCTAGTTCAGTTCTAGTTCAGTTCTAGTTCAGTTCTAGTTCAGTTCTAGTTCAGTTCTAGTTCAGTTCTAGTTCAGTTCTAGTTCAGTTCTAGTTCAGTTCTAGTTCAGTTTTAGTTCAGTTCTAGTTCAGTTCTAGTTCAGTTCTAGTTCAGTTCTAGTTCAGTTCTAGTTCAGTTCTAGTTCAGTTCTAGTTCAGTTCTAGTTCAGTTCTAGTTCTAGTTCAGTTCTAGTTCAGTTCTAGTTCAGTTCTAGTTCAGTTCCAGTTCAGTTCCAGTTCAGTTCTAGTTCAGTTCTAGTTCAGTTCTAGTTCAGTTCTAGTTCAGTTCTAGTTCAGTTCTAGTTCAGTTCCAGTTCAGTTCTAGTTCAGTTCTAGTTCAGTTCTAGTTCAGTTCTAGTTCAGTTCTAGTTCAGTTCTAGTTCAGTTCTAGTTCAGTTCTAGTTCAGTTTCTAGTTCAGTTCTAGTTCAGTTCTAGTTCAGTTCTAGTTCAGTTCTAGTTCAGTTCTAGTTCAGTTCTAGTTCAGTTCTAGTTCAGTTCTAGTTCTAGTTCAGTTCTAGTTCAGTTCTAGTTCTAGTTCAGTTCTAGTTCAGTTCTAGTTCTAGTTCAGTTCCAGTTCAGTTCTAGTTCAGTTCTAGTTCAGTTCTAGTTCAGTTCTAGTTCAGTTCTAGTTCAGTTCTAGTTCAGTTCTAGTTCAGTTCTAGTTCAGTTCTAGTTCAGTTCTAGTTCAGTTCCAGTTCAGTTCTAGTTCAGTTCTAGTTCAGTTCTAGTTCAATTCTAGTTCAGTTCTAGTTCAGTTCTAGTTCAGTTCTAGTTCAGTTCTAGTTCAGTTCTAGTTCAGTTCTAGTTCAGTTCTAGTTCAGTTCTAGTTCAGTTCTAGTTCAGTTCTAGTTCAGTTCTAGTTCAGTTCTAGTTCAGTTTAGTTCAGTTCTAGTTCAGTTCTAGTTCAGTTCTAGTTCAGTTCTAGTTCAGTTCTAGTTCAGTTCTAGTTCAGTTCTAGTTCAGTTCTAGTTCAGTTCTAGTTCAGTTCTAGTTCAGTTCTAGTTCAGTTCTAGTTCAGTTCCAGTTCAGTTCCAGTTCAGTTCTAGTTCAGTTCTAGTTCAGTTCTAGTTCAGTTCTAGTTCAGTTCTAGTTCAGTTCTAGTTCAGTTCTAGTTCAGTTCCAGTTCAGTTCTAGTTCAGTTCTAGTTCAGTTCAGTTCTAGTTCAGTTCTAGTTCAGTTCTAGTTCAGTTCTAGTTCAGTTCTAGTTCAGTTCTAGTTCAGTTCTAGTTCAGTTCTAGTTCAGTTCTAGTTCAGTTCTAGTTCAGTTCTAGTTCAGTTCTAGTTCAGTTCTAGTTCAGTTCTAGTTCAGTTCTAGTTCAGTTCTAGTTCAGTTCTAGTTCAGTTCTAGTTCAGTTCTAGTTCAGTTTTAGTTCAGTTCTAGTTCAGTTCTAGTTCAGTTCTAGTTCAGTTCTAGTTCAGTTCTAGTTCAGTTCTAGTTCAGTTCTAGTTCAGTTCTAGTTCAGTTCTAGTTCAGTTCTAGTTCTAGTTCAGTTCTAGTTCAGTTCTAGTTCTAGTTCAGTTCTAGTTCAGTTCTAGTTCTAGTTCAGTTCCAGTTCAGTTCTAGTTCAGTTCTAGTTCAGTTCTAGTTCAGTTCTAGTTCAGTTCTAGTTCAGTACTAGTTCAGTTCTAGTTCAGTTCTAGTTCAGTTCTAGTTCAGTTCCAGTTCAGTTCTAGTTCAGTTCTAGTTCAGTTCTAGTTCAGTTCTAGTTCAGTTCTAGTTCAGTTCTAGTTCAGTTCTAGTTCAGTTCTAGTTCAGTTCTAGTTCAGTTCTAGTTCAGTTCTAGTTCAGTTCTAGTTCAGTTCCAGTTCAGTTCCAGTTCAGTTCTAGTTCAGTTCTAGTTCAGTTCTAGTTCAGTTCTAGTTCAGTTCTAGTTCAGTTCTAGTTCAGTTCTAGTTCAGTTCTAGTTCAGTTCTAGTTCAGTTCTAGTTCAGTTCTAGTTCAGTTCTAGTTCAGTTCTAGTTCAGTTCTAGTTCAGTTCTAGTTCAGTTCTAGTTCAGTTCTAGTTCAGTTCTAGTTCGTTCTAGTTCAGTTCCGTCAGTTCTAGTGCAGTTCGAGTTCAGTTTAGTTCCAGTTCTAGTTCAGTTCTCAGTTCAGTTCTAGTTCAGTTATAGTTCAGTTCTAGGTCAGTTCTAGTTTCAGTTCTAGTTCAGTTAGTTCAGTTCTAGTTCAGTTCTAGTTCAGTTCTAGTTCAGTTCTAGTCAGTTCTAGTTTCAGTTCAGTTCTAGTTTCAAGTTTCTAGTTCAGTTCGTAGTTCAGTTCTAGTTCAGTTCTAGTTCAGTTCTAGTTTCAGCTCTAGTATCAGTTCTAGTTCGTTCTAGTTCAGTTAGTTCAGTTCTAGTTCAGTTCTAGTTCAGTTTCTAGTTCAGTCTAGTTCAGTTCTAGTTTCAGTTCTAGTTCAGTTCTAGTTCAGTTCTAGTTCAGCTCTAGTTCAGTTCTAGTTCAGTCCTCAGTCAGTTCTAGTTCAGTTCGATTCAGTTCTAGTTCAGTTCTAGTTCAGTCTAGTTCAGTTCTAGTTCAGTTCTAGTTTCAGTTTTCTAGTTCAGTTCTAGTTCAGTTCTAGTTCAGTTCTAGTTCAGTTCTAGTTCAGTTCTAGTTCAGTTCTAGTCAGTTTAGTTCAGTTCTAGTTCAGTTCTAGTTCAGTTCTAGTTCAGTTCTAGTTCAGTTCTAGTTCAGTTCTAGGTTAGTTCTAGTTCAGTTCTAGTTCAGTTCTAGGTTCAGATCTAGTTCAGTTCTACTGTAGTTTTAGCTAAGATCTAGTTCAGTTCCTGTTCTCTTCGAGTCGAGTTTTAGTTCAATTCTATTTCAGTTCAGAGTATATAAAATGAACTCCAATTTCAATTGATACCCTTGTTTCACATTATCGCACACACATTATCTGTTTCAAATTCTAATATAGTAGTGCAAATTGCATTTTACGTACCTGTGCAGCACCTTCAATGATACCCGGCAAATCCAGCAATTGTATATTCGCACCCTTATACTCAATAACACCCGGAATACAGGTCAATGTTGTGAACTCATAATTGGCTGCTTCCGATTCAGTTTTTGTCAGCGTCGACAATAGAGTAGACTTACCCACCGAGGGAAAACCGATCAGAGCCACTCTGGCATCGCCACTTTTTAACACATCAAAACCTTCACCTTTTTCGCCCTTCTTCGAGGGCTCCAACAATTGCGAACGATATTTCGCTAATTTAGCCTTCAATAAACCCAAATGGTATTCAGTGGCTGCAAGTTGGAAAATGAAAACAATAAAAATTATAACCTTGTTTTAAAAGTGGCCAGCTACAGCCAGCCACCTCATTTATTTTTTTCTCTTCGCAAATTTTGTTTGTTCATCACCTTTATTTTTTTGTGTTCTGGCGATTTCTCTTTCGATTTCAGCAATTTTCTCTAATATACCCATAGTGATTGTTTAGTTTTTCTTACGTTATTTACACTTAAAACATAATAAATTTGTTTAATATTTTTAAATAAAATAAAAATATTTGCGAAAAATTCGACTTCTGCTTGCTTAAGAAAAATACTCCGGTACTGCGTGTGTGAGAGCGAAAGAGAAAGCATTAGAATAATGCTGTTTTGACAATTGACATTTGCCGCTTTTTGTTATACGCCATCAATCACGTTGAAATGTTAACACATGAAAAATCAATCACAATAAGAGCTTTTAGAGGGAAAAAATGAAATAACGTTATTAAAAGTAGAATTTGTGCAAAAATGAAGTGTTTTATAGAAAAATTATTTATTGAAGTGTTTAAATTTGTTTGATTGTCTTATGAGTGCTTAGTTTTTAAAGGTAAGTTTGTTAAAAATAAGTTGAAAATTTGATTTACAGAATTTTAAAAGAAATTTGGCTTTAACTTTCTTTTTTCTTTAGTAAATGGTATTTTTGATACTTAAAATTCTTCTGCTCGTTTTGTATATGCTCCAGTGGCCTAGCATACTATTTCAAAAGCATTTTAAAGTGGAACAACTTTTTTATCACATGGAGGCAAAATGATTTTAGTTGGCCAAAGGCACGCATCTATCGATTCATGTAAATACAGGTAAGAGATTCCTTAAGTTTTTTTACAATTTCGATCACATTGTGACAACTTTATATTACATGGAGTCTGAAAGACTTCAGTTGGCCAAAGGCACACATCTATCGATTTATGTAAATACATGCAAGAGATTCCTTCAGTTTTGTTTATAATTTTGACGACATTGTGACATCTTTTCTATAGAAAAATATACAAATGTATGTATATAGTAGGTGGTGGGTTCGATTCCCACCTGAGGCACTGGTTAAGGAGCGCACAACAGGCCCGATAGAGGCCTAGGTGTATTTTTTCGGATTTGAAGTATGTATATACATACATCCTCCTTTTAAACTAACATGTATATTGTAGATCAGCTTTTGTTTTGTTCTAGCTCAGTCCTAGTTTTATTGTTAGTTCAGGTTTAGCTCTTTCTAGTTTAGTTCTAGTTCAATTCTTGTTCAGTTCTAGTTCAGTTCTAATTTAGTTCCAGTTCAGCTCTAGTTAAATTCTAGTTCATTTTAATTTCAGCCATAGTTCAGTTTTTGTTTAGTTCTAGTTCTAGTTCAATCCTAGTTGTAGTTATGTTCTAGTTCAGTTCTAGTTCAGATTTAGTTCTATTCTGTTCTAGTTTAGTTCTAGTTCAGTTTTTGTTCAGTTCTAGTTCAATCCTACTTCAGTTTTAGTTGAGTTGTAGTTCTGTTCTTGTTCAGTTCTAGTTCAATCCAAGTTCAGTCTTAGTTCAATCCTAGTTCAGTTTTAGTTTAGTTCTACTTTATTTTTTGTTTAGTATTATATGCTCTTATTGAATCTCTTTTAAATAAAACTTCCTTTCCTAAATATTTGATCAGATTTTTTATATTAATAAAATCGTTTAATAATATATTTTTCATTTTATTAAATAAATTTTGTTTTTTATACATAAATAATGAAGCTAAAATATGCTACATATTGAAAATATTAAGAAGTTTCAAAAAAAATTAAACAAATTATCAAAAAAAATATCTTAATTAAACTACAATCATAATCCAAAAAAGGATTTTTTTAAAGTAAATAATCTATAACTGTATACAATAGTTATATTAGGTAAATTATATGTATACATATTTATAAAAAAATATTGTGCTTTATTAAAATTTTCGAAAACTGAAAAGAAAACTAACCAAAACATTAAATGTGCTGTTTTCAACCTAAATATTGAAATTAGTTTTTTCTTATTCTTTCTTAAGTTTTACCCCATAAAGTACATTTTGTTTTGCAATAATTAACATTATTCAACCTTTCGTTTTATATAAAATGTTTAACTGTCATTTTCATTACAACATCCTTTTCCCTCATAAAACTTTTTTACTTCTATGGTAATGGAAATATTCTTTTAATTTCTATAGAAACCATTACCATCATTACCCATAAATTCAGTCCATTTTTGTTGTTGGATATCATCCAATTCGGAGCATACCTCTCCGGGTTGTAGGGAACGACAAGTACAGGTGATACTTAAGCGTGTAATCACCAGTTGTGATTCATATTTAGGCAAATCGGGATTAATATTGACCAAACGCTCATTAAGGCATTGTTTAAGGAATTGTTTACGCAAAGCTCTTTGGTTGTCCATAGTGTAACCTAAGAAATTGTTTTAATTAAAATGACGAAATGAATAAGTATGAAACGATTGAATTGAACTTACTTTTATAAGCGCTTATTTTCTCCTCCACACAGTTTAAATCTTGAGGCGTGAATAACGGTGGATAGGCTTCGGATTCTCTTATATTTAAAACAAATGCAAAATCTATACTGGATCTGGTGTTATTTAAAGATTTCATTAGTACTCCAGTCGATGATATGGAGGCCAAAAACCAGTCATCATTTTCATTACTTGTTGCCACATCCTCTCTTCTCTTACGTTTTTCGGGATTAACACCCCCTATAAAATCTTCGATCTGGGCATTTTCTAGTAGTTGTTGTTCTTGCTCCTGCACTTCATAGTTTTGTTGCTGCTGTTGTTGCTTTTTCATGGCATCTCTTTCTTCTTTTTCTCTCTCCAAGTCCCATAAACTCAAAGGTTCATCTTTTTCGAGATTATTTTGAGGCACTCCTCCAGTGGGCAGGCTAGCGGTGGAATTTGAATCTTCATCAAAGGTGGGTACATCGCTGCGTATATCCCTATTGCCGGGATATTTTGTACGTAAACGTATAGGGTGTTCATTGGCTGGTACTACTTGGGGTACCTCACTGTCAGGATATGCGTTCTCGTAGTCTTCTGGTACTCTTTGTGGTTCGATGACATCGTATTCTTTTTGCTGAATATTATTAAAGAGAAGAATATTAATAACGGAAAAATAGTTCCACTTTAGAATCAGTTCATTTCGTATTACATCCGATCTAGTTCAATTCTAGTTCAGTTCTAGTTCAGTTCTAGTTCAGTTCTAGTTCAGTTCTAGTTCAGTTCTAGTTCAGTTCTAGTTCAGTTCTAGTTCAGTTCTAGTTCAGTTCTAGTTCAGTTCTAGTTCAGTTCTAGTTCAGTTCTAGTTCAGTTCTAGTTCAGTTCTAGTTCAGTTCTAGTTCAGTTCTAGTTCAGTTCTAGTTCAGTTCTAGTTCAGTTCTAGTTCAGTTCTAGTTCAGTTCTAGTTCAGTTCTAGTTCAGTTCTAGATCAGTTCTAGTTCAGTTCTAGTTCAGTTCTAGTTCAGTTCTAGTTCTATTTCAGTTCTAGTTCAGTTCTAGTTAGTTCTAGTTCAGTTCTAGTTCAGTTCTAGTTCAGTTCTAGTTCAGTTCTAGTTCAGTTCTAGTTCAGTTCTAGTTCATTCTAGTTCTATTTCAGTTCTAGTTCTGTTCTAGTTCAGTTCTAGTTCAGTTCTAGTTCAGTTCTAGTTCAGTTCTAGTTCATTCTAGTTCAGTTCTAGTTCAGTTTGTTTCAGTTCTAGTTCAGTTCTAGTTCAGTTCTAGTTCAGTTCTAGTTCAGTTCTAGTTCAGTTCTAGTTCAGTTCTAGTTCAGTTCTAGTTCAGTTCTAGTTCTAGTTCAGTTCTAGTTCAGTTCTAGTTCAGTTCTAGTTCAGTTCTAGTTCAGTTCTAGTTCAGTTCTAGTTCAGTTCTAGTTCAGTTCTAGTTCAGTTCTAGTTCAGTTCTAGTTCAGTTCTAGTTCAGTTCTAGTTCAGTTCTAGTTCAGTTCTAGTTCAGTTCTAGTTCAGTTCTAGTTCAGTTCTAGTTCAGTTCTAGTTCAGTTCTAGTTCAGTTCTAGTTCAGTTCTAGTTCAGTTCTAGTTCAGTTCTAGTTCAGTTCTAGTTCAGTTCTAGTTCAGTTCTAGTTCAGTTCTAGTTCAGTTCTAGTCAGTTCTAGTTCAGTTCTAGTTCAGTTCTAGTTCAGTTCTAGTTCAGTTCTAGTTCAGTTCTAGTTCAGTTCTAGTTCAGTTCTAGTTCAGTTCTAGTTCAGTTCTAGTTCAGTTCTAGTTCAGTTCTAGTTCAGTTCTAGTTCAGTTCTAGTTCAGTTCTAGTTCAGTTCTAGTTCAGTTCTAGTTCAGTCTAGTCTAGTTCAGTTCTAGTTCAGTTCTAGTTCAGTTCTAGTTCAGTTCTAGTTCAGTTCTAGTTCAGTTCTAGTTCAGTTCTAGTTCAGTTCTAGTTCAGTTCTAGTTCAGTTCTAGTTCAGTTCTAGTTCAGTTCTAGTTCAGTTCTAGTTCAGTTCTAGTTCAGTTCTAGTTCAGTTCTAGTTCAGTTCTAGTTCAGTTCTAGTTCAGTTCTAGTTCAGTTCTAGTTCAGTTCTAGTTCAGTTCTAGTTCAGTTCTAGTTCAGTTCTAGTTCAGTTCTAGTTCAGTTCTAGTTCAGTTCTAGTTCATTTCTAGTACTAGTTTCTTTTTAAAATAAAAAATTTTCCAACTCACAAATTCTCGTAATGCTGGTGAACTGCCTCCATAACCCACATTCCCGTAATAAGGTGAATTCAGTTGTTTCAAAGCCTCATAAGTATCTACCACGGGTGGCTCATTTTTCTCCAAAGCCTCTTGTATTAATTCTGGGGGTAAAAGACGATTGCGTGCTGTTTCTTGTCTAAATTGGTTCTTGGACTTTTCTAAACTTTCCAATTTCTCAGCAGCGACAACTTTTTCCAATAATTCTTTATTAGCCAAAAGTTTTTTCAATAATTTGGGATGTTTTAAAGGAGACTTGGGTGTTTTGTGAGCACTGACTAGACTAACATGTTGGGTGCGATTTAAGTGGACTTCCAAATCATCTTGAGAATAATTAAATTAGTCGTATTATAAATCTACAAATAGATTTAAATTTCTATAAAAAATACCTGTACTGAATAATACCGCTCCTGGTGGTTCAATATGACGAGCTATGGCATACAATTTGACCACACTGGAAGTGTTATACCTCAAACGACAAGTATCGGCACGTGCTTGCAGGATAATATCGCTGTCTGTATTAAAGTGAAAAAAATTAAGTAAAGATCTCCGAAAAACCTCAATTTGTAAGTAGCCTTACCCGGTATAAATTCATAAGCATCCTTGGCGTCATATTTATCTCTACACTGCATTTGCCAGTGTAAAAAGAAATCACCACCAAAAGTCTGTGATATTGAAACACCACCCAATAAACTATTGGAACCTCCCGAATCTGTCATCATGGCATCCAGTAGGGGTTTACCATTTCTACCATCCAATATAGTAGTTTGTGAATAGTAATACACAGGGAACCCAGGACCAGTATTATATTTGACCATAAAATCTGTAACATTATCATGATTGAAATGACCCGGCACTATAGCACTAACACTTTCACTCGAGGGAAATGTAAAATTCCACAACATGCTGAAATTTCGACCGTCAAAAGCCATGACTGTAGAATTAAATGAAGACACCACTATATCGGCCACATGATCTCCTGTAATATCGGTTAATACCGAGGGTACCATTAAACCGGAATGTTTATGTTGATATAGAGGAGTAAACTCTTTTTCACTGGTAAATTTCATAAGAGACAGCAGACGTATGGAATAGACTCCACCCGCAGTACTTTGGCCTCCAGTTATAATAAGCAATAGTTCAGTGCCATCTTCCTTGGTAATAATTTGAACTGGTACAAATACTTCTTCTTTAAACGGTGTCGGTATTGTGCGTATAACTTTACCAGTTTTACCCGATATTACTTTAATATGACCCGCTTTCGATTCTTCGCGTTCTTCAAGATGTACCGCTAATATTTCAGAGATTTCATCACCATCTAAATCGCGTACAATGTTTATGGTATAAAGATCCATGACTATAGGAGAGTTGGTCTCTACTTCCACCTCCCGGAATTCCCAAATATTATTTCCGTTTCGGCCATTTATAGCGAAAATCATCTGAAAAGGGAATGAAATTATATAAAAAGAACAAGAACTAGAATAGAACTAGAATAGAACAGAACTAGAACAGAACTAGAACAGAACTAGAACAGAACTAGAACAGAACTAGAACAGACCTAGAACAGAACTAGAACAGAACTAGAACAGAACTAGAACATAACTAGAACACAACTAGAACACAACTAGAACACAACTAGAACAGAACTAGAACAGAACTACAACAGAACTACAACGGAACTACAACAGAACTAGAACACAACTAGAACAGAACTAGAACAAAACTAGAACAGAACTAGAACAGAACTAGAACAGAACTAGAACAGAACTAGAACAGAACTAGAACAGAACTAGAACAGAACTAGAACAGAACTAGAACAGAACTAGAACAGAACTAGAACAGAACTAGAACAGAACTAGAACAGAACTAGAACAGAACTAGAACAGAACTAGAACAGAAATAGAACAGAACTAGAACAGAACTAGAACAGAACTAGAACAGAACTAGAACAGAACTAGAACAGAACTAGAACAGAACTAGAACAGAACTAGAACAGAACTAGAACAGAACTAGAACAGAACTAGAACAGAACTAGAACAGAACTAGAACAGAACTAGAACAGAACTAGAACAGAACTAGAACTTGAACAGAACTAGAACAGAATTAGAACAGAACTAGAACAGAACTAGAACAGAACTAGAACAGAACTAGAACAGAACTTGAACAGAGCTAGAACAGAACAGAACTAGAACTAAATTTTCACTCACCCCCAATCGTCCAGCCGCTACACAATCCGGATAACCATCTTGATTTATATCCACGGTACACAACAACGAAAACACATTCGCCACACTCCATGTCTGCCACAGTAAATCTCCATTAACACCATTCACCGCTATAACACCACCCTCGCAAGGAACCTCATCACCCTGTATAGGACTCTTACATTTCGGCAGCGGATAACCCTCGTACTGAATATTATCATCGACACCGAAACCAAAAATTATATCCGAAACATCATCACCATTGAGATCAGCTTTACGCACAGGACTTTCACTATTCATGCGGGGAAAAGTGCGTGACCACAGCTTCTGTACACTGATCTGGGTACAAGGCACAAATTCACTGCCCATACTATCGCCATACGATTTCTGGCCATCATCGTTTAAAGCCAACGGGAAGGAGGGTGAAATCTTTTGATGATGTAACCAAAATTTGATTTTTTGCATGGAAACAGGAACCATGGTTAGAATTAATGCTATCAAGCTAATCAAGGCTATAATAATGGTCAAAGCAGCCAGGCCATAGCAAAAGGGTTCACAACAGCGCCAGCAACAGCGACGATGTTTTTTCATTATGGGCACTGAATTATGAGATTTGCCGTTCTTACGTCTAGGTGCCATTAAGGGACGCTTTAAGCCCTTCTCCTCGCTCATCTTTATTGAAGAAAATAACAACGAAATTCTTTTATTTAATCCTTAAAAAAAGAGGTCATAACAACAAATAATACCTTTGATGTTTTTGAATCCTTAATGAATACTTCATCGTCTACATCATCGCTTATGTCTTCATCAATGGAATCGCGTATGGCGATACGATTTGAGGGCACATATGGTCGCATATTTATCATAACCGGAAAAATATGTTGGCTAACAAAAAAAGAGCTTCTTACTCTTCACGCTTTTCACTATGTGTCTGTATGTGAAGTGTTTCGTTTTATCTTTTTCTTGTTTTCAAATAAACACTTTTCTTTTGATAAACATTTATTGAAACCCCTTATGTTAGGCTTTATTTTAAAAACTTTTTAAAGGCTTAAAGTATGCTATATATAATTTTGTGTATTTATTTATGTTTTCGATAAGCAACAAGAAGTTTGTATGTTGTTTTTTTCACTTCAAATGAAAAATCAATATTATTCCTTCAACTGTCAGTTTGACATTTGCTTAAAAGAGTGATTTACTCTTCTAGTTCTCTTTTACTCTTTAGTTTAAACGCCTGCGCCTAAAAATTTACTGTTATTTGTTTGCTTGAACACGTGTTGCTGGCTTTTTGTTTTTATACTTTTTAGCGGTATTGGTTTGTTTGTCAACAAATTTTATAAGGATTTTGTGTGTGTTTTTAGGGGAAACCTTGTTAAACTGTTGAATGACCAATAAAGTGTTCCATGTGATTTTGGTAAAGTTTTATGTGTATATGTACTTTACACTTTAAAAACTCCCCTATTTTTTCCTTCACTTTTCATTCATTAATTTCTATTGTTTGTTGTTTTTTTTTTTTTTTTTTCATCATAAAATGTTCAACGAATATTTTCATGAATGAGCTCTAATTGAATTAATGGAATTCATTCATGACTTCTCCTTCTTAGAAGATTATAAAACATACATTTTAGAAGTTCTTAAAATAACGCCCCAATTGAGAAAATAGTAATATATAGTGATAATGATATAGTGTGATCACTTATATTTTCCATGAAAAATCGATTTTTATATGAGAAATCTAAAATCGGCTGTAGTTTCTTAAATAACGCTCCAATTAAGAAAATAGTGAAAATCTTTGATCACTTATATTTTCCATGAAAAATCGATTTTTATATGCAAAACCTAAAATCGTCTGTAGTTTCTTAAATAACGCTCCAATTAAGAAAATAGTGAAAATCTGTGATCACTTATATTTTCCATGAAAAATCGATTTTTATATGCAAAACCTAAAATCGGCTGTAGTTTCTTAAATAACGCCACAATTAAGAAAATAGTGAAAATCTGTGATCACTTATATTTTCCATGAAAAATCGATTTTTATATGAAAAACATAAAATCGGCTGTAAGTCCTTAAATAACGCTCCAATTGAGAAAATAGTGAAAATCTGTGATCACTTATATTTTCCATGAAAAATCGATTTTTATATGAAAAACCTAAAATTGGCTGTAAGTCCTTAAATAACGCTCCAATTGAGAAAATAGTGAAAATCTGTGATCACTTGTATTTTCCATGAAAAATCGATTTTTATATGCAAAACCTAAAATCGGCTGTAGTTTCTTAAATAACGCTCCAATTAAGAAAATAGTGAAAATCTGTGATCACTGTAAGTCTGTAAGTCCTTAAATAACGCTCCAATTGAGAAAATAGTGAAAATCTGTGATCACTTATATTTTCCATGAAAAATCGATTCTGAAAAACCTAAAATTGGCTGTAAGTCCTTAAATAACGCCCCAATTGAGAAAATAGTGAAAATCTGTGATCACTTATATTTTCCATGAAAAATCGATTTTTATATGCAAAACCTAAAATCGGCTGTAGTTTCTTAAATAACGCTCCAATTGAGAAAATAGTGAAAATCTGTGATCACTTACATTTTCCATGAAAAATCTATTTTTATATGAGAAATCTAAAATCGGCTGTAAGTCCTTAAATAACGCTCCAATTAAGAAAGTAGTGAAAATCTGTGATCACTTATATTTTCCATGAAAAATCGATTTTTATATGAGAAACCTAAAATCGGCTGTAGTTTCTTAAATAACGCTCTAATTGGGAAAATAGTGAAAATCTGTGATCACTAATATTTTCCATGAAAAATCGATTTTTATATGAGAAATCTAAAATCGGCTGTAAGTCCTTAAATAACGCTACAATTAAGAAAGTAGTGAACATCTGTGATCACTTATATTTTCCATGAAAAATCGATTTTTATATGCAAAACCTAAAATCGGCTGTAGTTTCTTTAATAACGCTTTAATTGAGAAAAGAGTGAAAATCTGTGATCACTTATATTTTCCATGAAAAATCGATTTTTATGAAGAACCTAAAATTGACTGTAAGTCCTTAAATAACGCTTTAATTGAGAAAATAGTGAAAATCTGTGATCACTTATATTTTCCATGAAAAATCGATTTTTATATGAGAAATCTAAAATCTGCTGTAAGACCTTAAATAACGCTCTGTGATCACTTATATTTTCCATGAAAAATCGATTTTTATTTGAAAAACCTAAAATCGTCTGTAGCTTGTTAAATAACGCTCCAATTGAGAAAATAATAAAAATCTCTGATCACTTATATTTTCCATGAAAAATCGATTTTTGTGTGATATCAATTGCTTAGCTTAGTGCGGAACCTTCTTAAAGTGTTGCCAATGTAGTGCTTTTTATTTATTTGTTTTTAATAAATACACTTCAGATTGGTTTTATAAGCTTAAAGTAAATATTTTTATTTTATTTATTTGTATGATTTTTGCAACATTTTCATTTATTTATGTTGTTTTTAATTACTTTAACAATTACATATATTTTTAACCAGATTTCCTTTGATTCACTTTTTAACTCTTACATAATTAACACATTACAGACATACAGCAAGTTGGAATTTGATATTTGTTATATTAAGGTTAAAATCTTAATAGTTATTTACTTATTAAAGTCAAAGAAATAAAAAATTACAAACTAAATCGAGAATAATAGTTGTAATCGAATGTAAAAAAATTGCTAAACAAAGTATTTATTATAATAAGAAGTTAAGATATAAGATTTTAAAAATATTGTTATGTCCCTATTTCTGAATCAGATCTTAGGCTTATGGTGCTTTTATTTGGTCTATTTTTTCTAATTTAAAGAAATATTTACAAGTTTTTGTTAAACTAAAATAATATTTAATAAAGATTAACGTTAAAATATGATAAACTACAAAATAAATAAAAATATTAAATTATTCTTTTAATTTGTAATTTTAGTTTTTATTTTAAAATAAATATCTTAAAAAATTAATTTGTAAACTATTAAGTAACAAAATTACTACATAAATATAAAATAGTTTTTAAAAACTTTTTGTTGCTTATCATATTTTTCCTATAATCTTTGGTTTTATTATTACTATTATAATTGTGACAATTTTATGTTGTTAATTAAGCAATTTGTTAGTTTTTTTAAATTATTTCTTTTGTTTTTTTTTTACAGTTTTTATTTGATAAAGTTTCAAGCTATTTTATTTTTAAATATTTACAATAATATTATTAATATTAATTGAAGTATTTCTTTTTCTTTTGCATATTTTTAATAATAACCTATTAAAATACTTAATTTTATTATTTGAACATTATTTTTGTGTTTAAATAAGTTTTAGGTTTTCGAAAAACACAATGTTATTTTATCTATAAAATGATAAAATAGTTGACATCACTGTTTCATGACATTCATTTAGAAAGGTTTATGGCTTAGCTAAATGATAGCAGAAACAAATTCATCAACGATTTTTATATTAAATACCTAAAATCAGTTGTACTTTCTTAATTAACGCTCCAATTGAGAAAATAAAGAAAATCTGTGATTACTTATATTTTCCATGAAAAATCGATTTTTATATGAAAAAACTTTAAATCGGCTGTAGTTCCTTAAATAATGCTTTAATTAAGAAAATAGTGAAAATCTGTGATCACTTATATTTTCAATGAAAAATCGATTTTTATATGAAAAACCTAAAATCGGCTGTAGTTCCTTAAATAACGCTCCAAATTAGAAAATAGTGAAAATCTGTGATTACTTATATTTTCCATGAAAAATCGATTTTTATATGAGAAACCTAAAATCGGCTGCAGTTGCTTAAATAACGCTTTAATTAAGAAAGAATTGCCAATGTAGTACTTTTTATACCTTGATGGGGGGTATATTGATTTTGTCATTCCGTTTGTAACACATACGTTTCAATGAAGCCAAAATCTCTCTATCAAGTTTTATGTGGATCGGTCCATAGTTGACCGTACCCCCCATATAAGGTCCCCTTCAGAAAATTACTTTAACGCTCATTACTGGCTTGAAAATACTAGTATAATAATGAAATTTGACATAAGTGAGTCTCTTATGATCCAAAACCTCTCTACCAAATTTTATGAGGATCGGTTCATAATTGACTCTACCCCCATATAAGGTCGCCTTCAGAAAATTACTTTAACGCTCATTTCTGGCTTAAAAATACCAGTATAGTGATGAAATTCGACACACATAAGTTTCAATGAAGCCAAAATCTCTCTATCAAACTTTATGTGGATCGGTTCATAATTGGCCCTACCCCCATACAAGGTCCCCTTCAAAAAATTATTTAAACGATCATTACTGGCTTAAAAATACGAATAAAACGATGGAACCCAAGTGCGTTCCTTGCGAACCAAAATCTTTTTTTAACAAATTTTCTGTGGATCGGTCCATAATTGACCTTACCCCCCTATAAGATCCCCTCCAGATAATTAATTTAATGCTCATTACTGCTTTAAAAGTACGAGTATAGAAATGAAATTCGACATAAGTAAGTTTCTTACGAGCCAGAACCTCTCTACTGACTTTTACTTTTACATTACTGTCTTAAAAATACCAGAAAATAGTGAAAAATTGTCCATGAAAAATCGATTTTTATATGAAAACCTAAAATCGGCTGTAGTTGCTTAAATAACGCTCCAATTAAGAAAATAATGAAAATCTACGATCACTTATAATTTCCATAAAAAATCGATTTTTATATGAAAAACCTAAAATCGTCTGTAGTTCCTTAAATAACGCTTTAATTAAGAAAATAGTGAAAATCTGTGATCACTTATAATTTTCATGAAAAGTCGATTTTTATATGAAAATCCTAAAATTGGCTGTAGATCCCTAAATAACAATATAATTGCGGAAGTAATGAAAATTTATGATCACTTATATATTTCATCAAAAATTAATTGTAGAATCGCCTATAGATCCTTAAAGAACGCCCCAAATGAGATCAATTTAATTTTCATGGATATGAGGTTTGAGTCTTAGCTGATCAATTGTGAAGACAAATATCTCAAAACAGCAATAACTCATCCTCTCCTACCTGTGTCTTAAAAATTTTTCAATTTTTCGTTTAATCCTGATCATTATGAAGTTTTCTAAAGGTTTGAGTCTTTGCTAACTAAAAGTGTAGTCAGATCAGTGAAACACAATGAGCTCTCTCGTACTCTATCTGTTACGCGTACGTATGCTTTCGCAAAGTATCAAAATTGAAAAACCTTAAACTTTAACCTTATAAAAACATTGTGTTTTTCAAAATTTTTAGTTAGATACTTAAACTTAGTTTCTCTTCTAAAATTCTACAATACATTGTTAGTGCTATTTCTTTTAAACTCCTTAAAGATATTCATAAAATACTATCCAATAGATGGCATTTAGAGAGGCAAATAAAGCGGGAAATGCTACACGAGAAGTACGATCTATATAGATGGCACGTTTTAAACGTTCCTGTTGAGGTGTTAATTTCGGTTTGGGTGGTTCGGGTTCAGCGGGTTTGGGTGCAGGTGTTGGTGGCGGTGCTATTGTGGGTGTTAAAATAATGCGAGATTCTTGACGAGGTATCCAAGGACCATCGGCATCGATTGGTGGACGCATAACACGACGTGTGGTATGGGTATGAGAGTGGCTATGGCCATGGCCCAAATGAGACTAGAAATTAAGAATTTCCAAATTAATTAAACACCTTAAAGTATGCTTTGAATATGTGGTTGTAAAAAATCCTAACTTACCCTTTTATTTTTTGTCATTTCATCAAAGATTTTCTCTATTTTTTCATCGGTTAAGGGGGGATGAGCTGGTGGTGGTGGCGGCTCTGGTTTCGCCTCCTCTTTTTTAGCTTCTTCCGGTTTGGGTTTGGGAGGATAAGCTATAGGCTTTGGTATGGGTGTATCACTTAAAACGATGTTGATTAGACAATATTCCATAAGAGCCATAAACACGAACACCGTACACACGGACATGAAAGCATCTACTGCTTTTAAATACGATACAGGCGGTAGGGATGATTGAGATTTCGCATGTTGCGTTGATAAAGTTAGTAGAGAAGTGACACCCAAAGTCACACGGGCTGGAGCCGCCTCTGGCTTAATCCAAAATGAAACCCAAGACATAATAACAATCATGCAAGTGGGTATATAGGTATTGAAAACATAATAGACCAGACGTCTTTTCAAAGTGAACACCACCTCCAGGCAGGTAAAGTTACCTGTTGAATAAACTTGAGTACAATCGGCCGTTTCATTATGTATCAGCGCCACCTGAGGCAATTCGATGTTTTCATCCACCACCAAAGGTGTGGTGGGATCCCATTGGAATATCATGTCATCCGTGGTGTGGGACACTGAAATTATTTTACACTCTAAGAAAAATAATCTTCACTAAGTTTCCATCTCTTCCTACTTACAACTTTCCATTTGTAGTTTACATTCCTGTGTATCATGCGGATAAATGGCAAAATTCATAATACACGACAATTTCAGAGTCAATTTCACCATATACAATATAGTTTTATCTTTATATAGCCACATATAATGATTCGGTATGGTCATCGTTTGAAATGTTACTGATTTGGCATTTTTGAAAAATGAATCTGGACGCCATAAACGTTTAAGCCAATCCACCTCGAGTAAACGATATTCTTGTGTCATATTTTCTGGCAGTCTTAAGCGATGATCTTTCCAGGTCTGCGCAAAAAATATATCCGCCACATAGGTCATGGAGTTTTCATCAATGGAATCTAAACCCATGACGGTGACATGAAAATAAACTATCGTTGGTTGTCCCTCTTTTTTGGGGGGTCTCATTTTATCGTAACGCTTTATGTCTTCTGGCAAAATATCTGTGATTTCTAAACTATGCCTGAATGGTAATTGGGGGAAAGGGGAGAATAGTAAATCTATTGAACTTAAATTGATTTGGACTTACTGAAATTCTGCTTTTGCTAAGTGTTCTAGTGTTATTGAGAGTAGTATAAACAGGAATATTTGGGCGTTCATTGCTGAAAGTAGAGAAAATTTCGAAATACATTATTATGTTGTAAATTTAAACTTTTACTGTTAATTTGTTGTTTTAATTGAAAGTTAAATAAACTCAAACTCCGGTTGTCGTTTAACCGGTAGGTATCCTTGCCCTCCAATAATTCTGTAATTTGCATAATCTTGTATATTGAAACTGAACTGAACTAGAACTGAACTAGAACTGAACTAGAACTGAACTAGAACTGAACTAGAACTGAACTAGAACTGAACTAGAACTGAACTAGAACTGAACTAGAACTGAACTAGAACTGAACTAGAACTGAACTAGAACTGAACTAGAACTGAACTAGAACTGAACTAGAATGAACTAGAACTGAACTAGAACTGAACTAGAACTGAACTAGAACTGAACTAGAACTGAACTAGAACTGAACTAGAACTGAACTAGAACTGAACTAGAACTGAACTAGAACTGAACTAGAACTGAACTAGAACTGAACTAGAACTGAACTAGAACTGAACTAGAACTGAACTAGAACTGAACTAGAACTGAACTAGAACTGAACTAGAACTGAACTAGAACTGAACTAGAACTGAACTAGAACTGAACTAGAACTGAACTAGAACTGAACTAGAACTGAACTAGAACTGAACTAGAACTGAACTAGAACTGAACTAGAACTGAACTAGAACTGAACTAGAACTGAACTAGAACTGAACTAGAACTGAACTAGAACTGAACTAGAACTGAACTAGAACTGAACTAGAACTGAACTAGAACTGAACTAGAACTGAACTAGAACTGAACTAGAACTGAACTAGAACTGAACTAGAACTGAACTAGAACTGAACTAGAACTGAACTAGAACTGAACTAGAACTGAACTAGAACTGAACTAGAACTGAACTAGAACTGAACTAGAACTGAACTAGAACTGAACTAGAACTGAACTAGAACTGAACTAGAACTGAACTAGAACTGAACTAGAACTGTACTAGAACTGAACTAGCACTGAACTAGAACTGAACTAGAACTGAACTAGAACTGAACTAGAACTGAACTAGAATTAGAACTAGAACTAGAACTGAACTAGAACTGAACTAGAACTGAACTAGAACTGAACTAGAACTGAACTAGAACTGAACTAGAACTGAACTAGAACTGAACTAGAACTGAACTAGAACTGAACTGGAACTGAACTAGAACTGAACTAGAACTGAACTGGAACTGAACTAGAACTGAACTGGAACTGAACTAGAACTGAACTAGAACTGAACTAGAACTGAACTAGAACTGAACTAGAACTGAACTAAAACTGAACTGAAACTGAACTAGAACTGAACTAGAACTGAAATAGAACAGAACTAGAACAGAACTAGAACTGAACTAGAACTGAACTAGAACTGAACTAGAACTGAACTAGAACTGAACTAGAACTAGAACTGAACTAGAACTGGAATTTAACTAAAATTGAACTAGAACTGAGTTAGAACCGTACTAGAACTGTCTTGCATTTAAATTAAATTATTTATTTTTAAATTCAAATAAATATTTCAAATACGCAACGTTGACCTTTCATTGCAATAAATATTTACAATTTCAACATTTGTTTTCAAAACTATTTCAATATTTTTTTCCTTCTCTTAAGAATTTATTTCACCTTGTCTTTAACATTGAATTTCCTTTAAAATATTTATTTATAAATCCTTTTTTTGTCATTTTACAAGAAAACAGGAAAACACTTATGTTTACAACAACAAAAATCAACAATAACAAGAAATCATTGTCATTTGTAATTTATAATTACCTTGGCGGGCGGCTAGGCTCGTCATTATGACATTATAAAAAAATATTAATGTTAAATTTAGAAAAAAATAGAAAATACAAGAAAACCTATAGGAAAGAAAATCTTGAAATAGTAACCTAGAATTTCCAAAAAGAAAAAACAACACATGTCATGCAAAATTTATCCTGCAGTCAGTCATCATCATAATTTTTTCTCTTGTTACCTTTTAGTCATTTTATTGTTGTTGTTTTTATTGTCTCTCATCACAATAGCGACTTAATTCACAATTAAAACCACTTCAAATACAACCAACAACAAGACAAAAACAGAAAAAAAACAATAACCGTTAAGTAGCCTGTATGTGTGTGTGTATATATATATATGAGTAAGAGTGTTTGTATGTGCTCTTTTGTTAAAATACCTAAGGATTCCTGAGTAAAATTGTCTCATTGAGTAGAAAAATGTTGCTGTAGTATTTTTTTAACTGAATAATTACGCTTGCTTAAGTGCTGAAAGGGGGTGGAGAGATTGAATAAGAACATTTGTAGAGACGACGAGGTTAAGAGAGCAGCAATAAGTATATGCGAATGCACTTATTCTTGGGATTTTTTTTTTTATTTCTAAATGACGTCAGACAAGGACAATTTTATTTCCTTTGATCAACAGAAATTTAAATGTTAGAGTATTTTTATCATAATTTTTTAAGATAATTTAAGTGTTTAGTTAATTTTGCTTGAAATTAACTTATGTGTATGAAATTTTGTTACAACCCAGCGAAAAATTTTCATTTTTTAATATTATATAATTTTGTTGTATAGGATTTGTAGCCAATTGTCAAGAAGTTAGTGGTTCAAACCCTGGTTGATGTTAGTAGTGTTTTTCAAAAAACATTGCTTTGTACTTTTATCTAAAAACTATCCAAATAGCACGATAAAATAACTTGTTAATTAGAATGTACCGAGAAACTGCCTTTTTAAGAATTCTTTGTTGAAATACTTCTCAATTGTTTTCATATTGAGCACATTAATATGCATCGTTTAAGAAATATTCCTAGAAAAAAGTGATTCATGTTAATAGAGCACTGATTAAACGGTTAGACTAATAAACACAAAAACAACTGTACACGCCTGATACGAAATTGTCACCAAAGAGTTTATAATTTTTCAATAACATCCGTTGTCAAAGTATATACATGCGTACGACAACACTATGTAACGCAACGTTGTCAACATTGAAATAATTCGTTGTCGAAATCTAAATTTTATACACATTCGTTGTCTAAATGTTAACAAACGTGGTAAGTTCACTATTGGCAACGGATTACTTGTCAATAGTGAGCTTACCACGTTTGTTAACATTTAGACAACGGATTTGTATAAACTTTAGATTTCGACAACGAATTGTTACAATGTTGTCAACATTACATAGTGTTGTCGTACGTATGTATATACTTTGACAACGGATGGTATTGAAAAATTATAAACAGTTTGGTGTCATTTTGGTACCAGGCGTGTATATTACTTTTTCCCTCTGTGTACAGCCGTGTAAGTACATTTGTAACCAGTTAGTTTCTGACCCAAAAAGTATGTACTTCTACTTTTCTTCAATATTACTTGCCTGCTTATCGGCAAGTATGGCAAATGCGATCTAATGAATTGTTATATCGGAGAAATATAGCTGTAGTGTAACCTGAAATTATCGACAGCGAAATCTTCTGCAATAATTCACCACCCAGGCGAATAAGTTAAACCTCGCACAGAGGTATAAAAAAAAACAGATGGAACACATTGCAACACTGTCGTAATTGCAAAGACAGGGAAAAGGAAGAAACGGTCTTCCATCTTCTCTGCGAAAGCCCTGCTCTATAAAATGCTTTCTTGACAGTTACTTCATATCTAACCTTAGTGAGATATCTGGGTGGTCCGTTCAAAACGGAGTCTCTTCGACTCTACTTGACTGTTCGCTCGCAGTGAATTACCACGTTAAGCATCCAACCAAGATGGAAATAAATATGTAGCTTTTAATTTGGAAATCAGGGTCCCTCAAAGTAATACACCTGCTGTATTTTAAAATCGATCCGATTTCTACATATATTCCTATATATAAAATAAGAAAATAATTGTTTAAAAGTCTTGACTGAGTCTAAAAATTCTAAATATTGTAACCCATTTTATGCGGTCCAATATCTTCTTAATAATTAGGTTAAGGGTTTTAATCTAAGGGCGTTAGTATGGAATTCTTTACCAAAAAAAACTTAAAAATAACTTTATTGGGATTTTTAAAAACTGACCAGTTGAAGGACTCCCAATGGTAGCTCTGGCAAAACAGATGCCAGGATGGATTTACAGGTTCAACGGCTACTGGTTCTGCGTTGATCGTGCGGTGTATGTCAAACATGATACTCATTCACATGTCCAACTTATTCTACCTAACTTGGTTCAATGAATTTATGGGCTTATCCAGCTGATGTACCGCCATTTTTAGGTTAACGCCTTAATACAAAACCACTGGATTCAAAAATGTAGTTGTAGATGATACAACAACCAAAGATTTAATAAATCCTGAATTAAGTCTGGCCCGTTTCATACATCCGCCATCATTATCTTCTCGTTTTAAGCACCCAATCTAACCAATGACCAACACTCTGGTCAGCCGCGAGACAAACTCCTTCAGTTTCAGGTCTCAGTTGACCTGAGGTAACACTTCCATACCCGGGGATTGCAAAACCACCAAGGTGTGCGAATTCCAGGGTATTTGGAATTGCAAAAAAGGTTTACAAGAAAAAATTTTGAATAGTTCGTCCATTCACCATCAAATTTATTTGGTTGGTGTGTAATATGTATTACACTTACATATATAAACATATTAAAAATTCTAGATCATTTAAAAATCATGAGGTTTCTTAGAATTTTACTCATATCTCCGTTATTAATAGACCGAATTGGTTGACTTTAATTAGAAAACTTCTCGAAAGCATGAATGACAAAACTCTTTAAAAAATCGGACTTTAATACTAAATGTATAATATATGGAAAAATATTATAGAAATAGAATTATTTTAGTGAAATATAGAATACCAAAGTTGCAAAATGGAAAAAATATTAATTTGAATTGAAATTCAAAATAGAGGAAATTAAGAAGATTGAGCATGAAACGTCAACTATGACCCATATAAATCGATTGGTCACATAACACAGGTCAACAAATTAAAAAAAAAACGAATCCCAAAGAAGTTATCGTGAAGTTATATCAGAGCGAAGGCATATTTATAAAACTTGTTCTGTCCTCTGAAAGTCCAATCTATCGACTCTAAAATAAAAGTGGTTAAACTCTGTATTATCTTCTTCCTACTTCTTACGAAAACCAAAAAGGTGTTTTCCAGATTAAAGAGACGATATCTCGAAATGTGATGGCGATATTCGGTCATATTTTGGTTCAGCGCCGCTTAATCCTTTAGAAAAGTATACTCTGGTCTCT